TACTTTTTTAGAATGACTATGACCTGGATGGCTGAAAATCTTCGCCAGTATTCAGCTTCTACATTTACCTCTGATGCTGCCTCAACTTCCAGATATAAACCAATCATATTTAGAGGGGTCCCTTTGATCTTATTTTTAATAGAATCAATTTTATTTATGTAGACTCTTATCATTAGTGCTAAGAGCAGGGTAAATTGACATTTCACACACAGCTCGCACACACACACAGAAAAAGCTGATTAACAGGGGAGCAGAAAGGCAGGAAGCAACTACATACTTGGAGATAGGAATGTAGGGTGTATGATCATTCTGTGGGACTGTCTGCGTGAAACTTTAAGATGTTCCCCCATGAAGATAATGGAAAGAGCCGGTGTTGCAGGAGGGGTCAGAGTTGCTGTTCGCAGATGCGTGCTGCTGATACTCCTCTCCCTTTGCAAAGGCCAACCAAAGCTTCGTTGTCCAGAATTTTTTATAACACTCCATCTAAGTTAAGTTACCTGCACTCGAATGAGCAGACCCAGGGAAAACCACTTGGAGAGTGTTTTCAACACTCTCCAATTTCCTAACATTTTGCTTCAATGTGCACAGCTCTGTATTAAACCAGGGAGCCAGGTTTCTATTTGTGAAGTTTTTCTTTGCGAGGGAGCCATGCTGTCCAAGGCAGTGCGCATGGAACTAGTAACCCCATCAACAGAATCATCAATTTCTGAAGAGGAATAATTGAAATGGTTGCCCTCTGCAGTATTGTTCAGTGATGAAGAGGAGAGAGGAGGTGGAACAGATTCTTTAACATTTATAACTGCATGATCTAATAATGATCTGCAAGAGTGAAACCTTCTTTTGTGGAATAAGAACTCTGTTCAACTAATTTTAAAAGTTATTAAACAGTGATCATAGAGCAGTGTTATTCCTTCACATTCAAAGCCGTACGTCAGCACAAGGTCAGAGCAGAAAGATGAGAATTTGTGGCACTTAAGTTATCACCTTCAATGTCAGCTTGGAAGTTAATCCCCACTATGATGACTTTGTCAATGATTAACACTAAATCAGATAGGAACTTCATAACATATAGGCGAATCACTGTCCCCCAGACATCCGCGGTTATACTTTTTATATTTATATATTTTTAAAACAAAGCGGAGTGTGTATGATGTCATCCGGGCACCGGACTAGAGCAGTGACAGGCAGCCCGGCCTCAGGCGGCTACACTCTACCCCTTCTATTCATTCGTCTAGCTACTCTGAATCGCTAATTCCATTTCGAGAGCGAGATCATCTGTGGTAGTAGCACTAGACATCTTCCAGGCATGTGAGTAAAACTAGCAGCAGTTCAGCGGACAGGATGAATGAATGGTAGCCGGCGTGCATGGATGACGTCATACACACTTTGCGTACCATAAATAAGAAATTATGAACAGTTTAGTTTGTGCCTTCAACTCGTTGCCCAAAGGAAGACGTTACTTGACATAACAAAACCGAATATCTTCGGAACAGCACCAAATGACACAAAACTAGTATGGGTGAGTAGAACATGATGTAATAACATAAAATCAAGGGGCCAATGTAAAAAAAAAACTGGCGTTCCCTTTTAAGTCTGTCTATGATTTTTTTAGTTCTTTGCTGTAATGATTTGTTGGCTGAGCATATAATTTTTTGTAGAGTATTCTACCACCTATTCTGTAAGTCTGGCATAGTTGTTTCTTAAGTACAGGGTTAGACCCATAATAATTGCTGCGGAATGGAAGGCCACCATAAAGAACTCAAAAAGAAAGGATAAACTAAACATCTGTTCTGTGTTTAGTGCATCCACAAAGCCACTAGTGAATTTCTCTATTGTGATATCAGTGTAGTTCTATTTTATTTTATTTTATTCTATTCTGTTCTGTGTTATTCTATCCATATCAATAGCCCTTCTGATCTACAATAAAACACAGGCTGGAATTGTTTGTCATTTCCCAAGTACACGTTGTAATCATACAAGCATAAGTTTAGAGATGCTTTATTCTTACCATTGCAGTCCCTTGAACCATTATCTACACGGAAAGCCCAGCGACCGGATAGATTGACGTTACTACCTAGGCTTACAAGTGTGATTTTTGGGATTGTCTTTTCAGAGAATGATTCCAGGATGGTAAAGTTGTGACAGGAAAAAGTTGTGTCATATCCAGCCTAGAAATAAAAGATTCATAAAAAAACAACAAGCAAAAAAATGATTTTACTCATTCTCATAAAATAGAATCTGACCAGGACCAAGACAGGAAAATAATGTATGTGTGTATTTAAAAGAAATACTCCAACCTTTATAAAGACGGGTTTGGATGCCAGGGATCCATAATTTAGAATAAAAAATGAATAATTCCCATTAGAAGCCAAGACTGCCTGAAAGGTTGTTTGCTATGAAAAACAAGAGTAATTTTCAGAATGAATTTGCAGATTAAACAGTTTATTCTCATTCCAAATATAACATCAAAGAGGTTTCCTTACTGTTTCAGGCATCAAACGATAGGGAATTTTATGCCATGTTGCAATAAAGATCCAGCTGGCATTAAAGTTAAGTTCTGGGAAGTACATGTTGATGTCCCGGGTGACTTGTTGGATAATGGAGCCGTTGGTATACTGAACATAGTAGATGTTACCACTTTTACTGTTGTCTAAATTGGTCCAGTAAGGAGCAATGATGTCTCTGTCTTCATTAAATGGAAACTGCTCTGGTGAATAACTTTTCCATGGTGCATCAAAGGTCAGATGACCATTGCGGTTCACCTGCAAATGAAATAATACTTGTTTGTTTTTTACATGTTTTGAGTAATGTTATAGTTTAATCATTCTAATAAAAGAAAAGTGACTTAAAGTTTAAGAAACAAGGTGAACATACAAAAATCTGAGAGTAAGATTTGCCAAAATAGTTAAAGGTTTGAAGGAGGGAAATTCTTGTGGAGCTTCCATCATCTTCTCGAGAGCTTGTTGTTCCTTCAATTGGGTAGAGGGGACCTAAACAAAGATCACCTGGATGGTCTGCCTGCGTTCCTAAAAAAAGAATCCAGTGTTCAACATATGAGGTTGAAACATGTACTCAGGCTTTAAATTTATGTAGAAGATTTCCTGCTCATGTATAATAGTTACAAACCAATTGGACACACATGATTCTCAGTAGAAAATACCTAGAGGAGTGATACTTGTATTTTGACACTATGCATGGTTTTATATTTTAAAAGGCCATAATAGTAGTAGTTCCTCACTGCTTTATCGCCAGTAGTAGTGCTGAGGTTTTTTTCTGAAGTGACCTGACAAATCATATCTAAAGGCTTTTTATTTGTATGATATTTCTATTTTTTTCAAACCAGGTGCAGTTGTACTTTAAGACAAGGATTTAACACAAAATTGATGGTGAATCTATTTTTGGAAATGCCATTGTAGTCAATTTTCCAAAACTCTTTGGGGATAAGCAACAATGCCCCAAGCCGTAATCATCTGCTTTGCCAGTTAAAAAAAAATAAAATTCAACAAAAAATATTTTATTAAGAAGAGTATTGGGGCCCAATTTTGAAAGTGTGGCATGGTTGCGTTCACCTTAACAAATGTTTAGTCCTTTACTGCAAAGATCTGCTGTTTCAAATAGGTAGTGTTACAACATATATTGCTTCACACACATTGCTGATTTAGAACCTGTTTCCAGTTCTGAAATCAGCCTGTGTCAATATTACAAGCTCAGTAGTTACATACTTAACTGGAACAGTGAGGCCTTTATTTTAAAATGAACAGTGAGTTGAGTTTTTGAAAAGACCTTGGTATTCAACTTCCCCAATACAGTTTTAATTTTGTTCGTAATGATATGAATTCTTTGCTGTATTGATCTGCAGTGTCAGAATACAAAGAATTTTTTGCAGAGTGTCATTACCTAATCCCTAAGTCTTTTGCGGTTTTTTTTTTAAGGATAGGGTCAGACCCAACAATAATTGCTATGCTATTCGAGGCCACAACAAAAGGCTCAAATAGGAAGTAAAAAAGGCTAAAATGCGCCCATTTTAATTGCCCTTTTGTCCAACCCCGTGACACAGAATAGTTAATCCTTGTTTCCCTAATACAGCTTCTATTCCTAATACCGATATAAATTTAGTGATGTTTTCTTCTTACCATTGCAGTCCCTTGAACCATTATCAACACGGAAAGCCCAGCGACCGGATACATTGATGTTACTTTCATGGCTTAAAAGTGACCTGTTTTTGCTATTATATAATGATCCAAGGATGGAGAAGTGGTGACAGGAATTGGCTGTGTCATATCCAGCCTAATGTAACAGGTGTTGGAGAGAGAGAAAGAAATAATGATAAAAAAAACATTAGTCATACTTAAGAAAATAGACATTGGCTGAGGCCAAGACAGGGCAAACAAAATATATTGTATGCAATTAACTGAAATGCTCTAACCTCTATGGAGACTGGTTTGGAAGCTAGGGAACCATAATTCAGTATCACAAATGAATAGTTCTCATTGGAAGCCAAGACTGCCTGAAAGGTTGTTTGCTATTGGAAAAAAAAGGGTAACTGTTAGAATGATATGCAGATTTAACATGGCTGATTTGCTTCCATTCAGGACATAAAATCAAATAGATTTCCTCACCGTTTTAGGCATTGAAAAATAGGGAACTTTATGCCATGTTGCAATAAAGATCCAGCTAGCATGAAAGTTAAGTTCTGGGAAGTACATGTTGATGTCCTGGGTAACTTGTTGGAGAATAGAGCCTTTGGTGTACTGAACATAGAAGATGTTACCACTTGCATGATTGTCTAAATCAGTCCAGTAAGGAGCAATGATGTCTCTACATCCATGCATTGGAAACTGTTGAGGAGAAAAACTGGCCCATGGTGCTTCAAAGGTCAGATGTCCATTGTGGTTCACCTGTAAATATAATAACCCTCAAATTAGGTAGTGCTGACTATTTACTTGTTTTGGGTAAATGTTTGAATATAGTCTTAATAATAAAAAGGAAAGTGACTTGAAGTCTAAAAAATAAGGTGAACATACATAGATCTGAGAGTAGGATTTGCCAAAATAGTTAAATGACTGAAGAAGTGAAATTTGTGTGGAGCTTCCATCATCTTCTCGAGAGCTTGTTGTTCCACCAATTGGGTAGAGGGGTCCTAAAAAGTATGATAGAGATTATCAATATTGTCCTCCATTGTTCTCAAACAGGATCCAGTGTTAAATATGGAAGGTTGAAAGATTCACTTAGACTTGACATTTCTGTACAAAACGTATTGTGCTAATATAAAAAAGTTTGAAACCAAGGGGGCACACATTATTCAGACAGAAAAATAAACAGATGAGTGTATGTGTAAGTGATGTGTGTATATAGTTTTTTTTAAATGTGTGGAGTATTCTGTGTCTTATTCTGAAAGGAATAGTTGTGTCTTAAGTATATCATTAAACCCATAAGTAATTGCTTTACAATGGAAGGCCAAATTAAAGGCTTACAAAAGAAAAGATAAACCTATGGTCTATAATGCAATACAGACTGGATATATTTGTTATCAAAGTACGTTCTAATCATAACAGCACAGGTTTAGAAATGCTTTATTCTTACCATTGCAGTCCCTTGAACCAAGATCTACACGGAAAGCCCAGCGACCGGATATTTTGACATTACTACCAAGGCCTAAAAGTGTAATTTTTGGGATTGCCTTTTGAGAGAATGACCCAAGCATGGTAAAGTTGTGACAGGAATAAGCTGTGTCGTATCCAGCCTAGAAATAAATGATTTGTATAGTTAAAAAAAAAGAAAAAAAAAGAAAAGTAAGTCACACTTAAGAAAATAGAATTTGGTTAGGGCCAAGACAGATCAAATAATATAGATGTATATTTAAATGAAATTCTCTAACCTCTATGGAGACTGGTTTTGATGCTAGGGAACCGTAATTCAGTATAACAAATGAATAATTCCCATTGGAAGCCAAGACTGCCTGAAAGGTTGTTTGCTATGAAAAAAAAAAGGAATTTTCAAACTGACTATGCTGATAAAACATAGTTTATTCTTATTAAACAAATCATATCAAATAGACTTCCTTACTGTTTCAGGCATTAAAATATAGGGAATTTTATGCCATGTTGCTATAAAGATCCAGCTGGCATTAAAGGTAAGCTCTGGGAAGTACACGTTGATGTCCTGGGTAACTTGTTGGAGAATAGAGCCGTTGGTATACTGAACATAGTAGATGTTGCCACTCTTTCTGTTGTCTAAATCAGCCCAGAATGGAGCAATAATATCTCTGCCTTCATCCATTGGAAACTTTTCTGGTGAATAACTACTCCATGGTGCTTCAAAGGTCAGATGACCATTGTGGTTTACCTGCAAATAAAATAACACTTAAATTAGGTATTGTTGTTTTTTTTACTTTTTTGACACATGTTATAGTATTATGTCATACTAAGAAAAGTGACTTAAAGTCTAAGAAGTAAGGTGAACATACATAAATCTGAGAGTAGAATTTGCCAAAATAGTTGAAGGTTTGAAGGAGTGAAATTCGTGGGGAGCTTCCATCGTCCACTCGAGAGCTGGTTGTTCCACTAATTGCGTAGAGGGGTCTTAAACAGAGATCACCTGGATGGGCTTCCTTTGTTTCTAAAACAAGATCCAGTGTTCAATTTAATGCCATAGTCACATTTCCAAAACCAGTTAAGGGCTGTCGATAATGTGTAGGAAGGGCGTGTAGGTGATGCAGCAGATAGCGTGAACGACCCATGTAGAGAGCCTCTGCGCAGCTGACGTGTGCTCCTTTGCCGCATGTATCTCATCCTGTCTTATACCCCCTTTCCTATCAGCCTACTCTCAAAAAAACCAGCCACTAATGCCACAAAAACTCAAAAGAAATATATATATTTATATGTGTAGGAAAATGAATATATTAGTTCTAAAGAAAATATGTAATCAAAACTATGTTTTGCAAAGTATTATATTAAACAGTTTAGTTTTACATTAAGTAATTGCTGAACTACTTGAACCTTGTGAGAATGAACTACTCTGTTAAAAGTAGTTCATTCTCACAAAAGTTGAGGGAAAGAATTCAGCCTTGAAAATAATTAGACACACAGTTCCTGCTATTGGCCATATTGGAGTAGGTTCTGTGTCTCTTTAAAAAGATGGGGAAACTGAAGTGCTTCCTTTTCCGAAGGTTAAGGGACAGATGTAGGTTGTCTGCGGTCATTGCTTTGATATTTTTTATTGACAAATAAATCTTTGAATTTGATTTCTAACTCTTTTTTTTTGTGTCTTCTTCTCTTTATTAACCAACAAATCCTGGGGAGGAGATTTAGCCATAGAATATCTTGTTATTTCTCTTTTAAAAATGTTTAAAACTGTGCTACAATCACCTTCACAGTCAAATGGGGAGTGTTTTACTTTTTAAAGTATTACATGTCTTACTTTAAGTTTTACATGATTGTTCTTTAAAATGTTGACACATTGGTGATTCAGAATCTGTTTCCAGTTCCTAAATAACTCTGCGTCAATATTAGAAGATTAACAGTTAACTACTCAAAATGTACAGTGAGGCTTTTATGTTAAAATGTACTATGAGGTTTGTTTTTCAAAAATGTCCTAGGTAGTATGTTTTCAAAAAATCTGGTAAATTCTCTTCGTAATGATTGTAATTGTTTCCGGTAAGGATAATGTAATGTAATGACATGTAATTTGTCAAAATAATAAAAAAAAAAAAATCATATTTTTTGTAGATTATTATATGTCTAATTCTGAAAGAATGGCATGGTTGTGTCTTAAGTATGGGGACAGACCCAAAAGTAAATGCTTAAAAAGAAAGAACAAAAAAAGAAAAACAGTTCAGTATATAGTGCAGAGCATTTTCATTGGCCTTCTGTTCCACCCTGTGATAAAGAATGGAGTTAATCATCATTTTCCTAATGTAGCTTCTATTCTTAAGAAAGATGTATATTTACTGTTTTTTTTCTTCTTACCATTGCAGTCCCTTGAACCACTATCAACACGGAAAGCCCAGCGACCGGATACATTGACGTTACTTTCATGACTTAAAAGTGTGATGTTTGAGTTTGTGCTATTAGACAATGATCCAAGGATGGTGAAGTTGTGACAGGAATAGACTGTGTCATATCCAGCCTAGAAATAACAGATTATGTAAAAACATCATACTTTAGAAATAGACACTGGCTAGGTCGAAGGCAAGGCAAACATATGTTGTATGCAATTAACTGAAATGCTCTAACCTCTACAGAGGCTCGTTTGGAATCTAGGTAACCATAATTCAGTATCACAAATGAGTAATTCCCATCGGAAGTTAATACTGTCTGAAAGGTAGTTTGCTAAGGAAA